ATTGCTGAAACCACTGCACCATGCTGGCCTTAAAGGTGCCAAGGACTATGGCTGTAAGGTTTGCATTGGGAACATGTGAAAGAAATTACTTTAAGAAGTATTAAAAGACATGGCCATGTTAGTCCTTTTCAGTATAAAAAGTTATAAAGGAATGCTATAACACCTTCAAGATTGACTGGAGTCCATAAAAACTTGTGCTAGGAATGCCTTTTTCTCAGTTATTCTCAAAGGTGGTACAGGATTCCTTTATATCTTTTTTTTTGTTTTAAAAAAGAAGTCACTCAGATAGCAGATAGCCAGTGTTGCATAGTGGTTTAAGTGCTGGACTGCAACTCTGGGGACCTGGGTTCAAATCCCTGCTCAGCCATGGAAACCCACTGGGTGACTTAGAAAAGTCACACTCTCTCAGTCTCAGAGTTTGCAAAGGTATACCCTCTCTGGGCAAATCTTGCCAAGAAACCCCTGTGATAGGGTCTCCATGAGTCAGAAACTACTTGAAGACACAACAACAACAACAACCCAGCTAACACAATTTTCATCATAAACAGAAAGGAATGAATGAGAAAGAAAGAAAGAAAGAAAGAAAGAAAGAAAGAAAGAAAGAAAGAAAGAAAGAAAGAAAGAAAGAAAGAAAGAAAAGAGAGAGGGAAAAGCAACCATTGATAGATTCACAGATGCAGGGAGATGGTTTAGCTCTTAAATTTGGTTTTGAACCCATCTCTATTCCACCATGCTTCTGATGCCGAATTAGGGTTGTTGCTTCTCTTTTCACTTGACAAGCTCTTCATCTTTAACATTGACATGACAAATAGGCACAATTCTATCCTCTCTACCAGAAATAACTATATCTGCTGAATTTGGCCTGCACAGAGACTACTGTTTGATTTTCTTTCCTCGGAAGAAACGTACCCATGTGAGCAAATTTCTTCATAAATGGGACCAAAAAAGAATCTGAGATTTTAAAAAATTATAATTTGGGAAACTGGGACCTATGTCATCATGATCCTCTCCAAAAAGAAAAAAAGAAAAAAGTCTGCTATAATACAATTGATAAAAGGTCTCCAGCGTCGTAGTCCAATGCTTAAACCATTACACCAGGCTTGAAATCTAAAAAGATTTATCCACCTCTGATTAGGACCAACTTTCAATTTCTCATTGTTAATTCAAAATCAGTGGAGTGCAACTCAGGTTAACATTTTTGGGACACCAGCTCTTAAAATACATGGGGTTGAGCAGAATATCCATTTCTGAACTTTAGCAATTAAGGCTTGTTCCAACTCTTGACTCTTCCTCTTCATTTGTATCTCCAAACAATTTGATTTTTATCACCTGATGTACTTGCCAAGTTGTCTGTGGGATTTTGGGGTTGGGGATTTTAGAAGTAATTTCTCCAAATTACAGGCTCTAGGAAACAGCACATGTCCCTGGATCTAGCACCTATCTTCTGATATCATAACTATCATTCAGAGATTCTTCTGCATCTAAGGGAAGACTGGATGAACAGGTTTTGCTCTCCATCAAGGTCTAAAGTGCCACAGTGCTTTACTAGCCAGTCCCCTGAAGGTAGCTCTTGAAGCAGCAACCAGGTTTGGCTTAATTTATTCATTATTTTAAAAAAAAATGGAGAAAAAATGGGTGAGGAGGGCAGAGGAAGAGAAGCAAACACAGACATAAATTATTAAATAGTAATAATATTCATATTTATTCCTTACCCAGCTCTCCCCATGGATCAAGGCAGGAAACAACAATTAACAGACACACCATATCAGTTGAAACACATCAGTTAAAATACACATCAATTTAAAAGGACAAATAGGATATACATATATTAAAACAATCCACATTTAAAATGCATAATTTAAAATGCATAATTTAAAAATAATCTGGATAAGACTGCTGGAAGAGACTGGTCTTTATTGCTCTTTCAGATCCAGACA